CTACGATGTGCTGTTTCCCTCCCCGTGTGCCCCAGCCGAAAGCCTTCTCTATAAGGTCAAGAGTGACCTTCATGTTGACAAATCCAAGAAGCATCTTGCAGCCCTGTCTTACTCGATCTCTCCACTGCACTGGACCTAGCTGAATGCTCTCCTGGAACACTCTTCCCTTGGCTTCCAGGTTGCAAACTTCCCTCTGGATCTCTTTGCTCTTCCTTTTCTGTTTCCTTTGCAGGCAAGTCCTCCACAGCATGAAACGCTAGAGCTCTTTGGGACTCAGTCCTAAGCCCTTGACTCTTATTCTCAAGTTCTGTCTCATCTGTGCCCTTCATATAGATTATCTCCCATTCCTCAATGACTCCTAATTTTATTTCTCAGCATGGAATTCTTGCCCTGAGATTCAGAGCTATGTAGCCAACTGGGTACTCAATACTTCCACCTGGATATCAAGACATCTTAACAATGTAGCTCAGTCAGTCACTTGGTGCTCCCATCAGACTTACCTAATGTTTCTAGTCCTATGGATGGCACCACAAATTCCTTAGGCCAGTCACATCTGGATCGCTGTGTCTCTCCCACCTTCTCTGTTTAACCCATTACCGCAGTCTGTCAGTATTACCTCCTACCTGCATCTCTCACATTTCTGCACTTCTTTCCATTTCCATCACCACCACCACCATGCCCTGGAAGTCACGATTAATCCTCTCTCTGCAACTGCCTCTCCACTGGTTTCATCTCATCTACCTTTTCACATTGGATCCAGAGTATTGTTATTGCTTTTTTTTTTTTAAATGCAAATCTGATTGTATCATCTTTCTGTTTAAAACTCTTCAATGATTTTCCATTACTTTTAATATAAAAATCAAAAATTAGTGTTGCATGACTTGGCCTTACACCAAGCTCTTCTTTGATTTCTGGATCCAGTACAAAGCCACTTAGTACCTTAAATATGCTTCGCTTCTTCCTAATATGTGGCCTTTGCACGTGACATTCTGTCTGGAGAATATTCCCCCTTCATTTTGCCTCTATACCTACCTAACTCCTACTGGTTCATTAGATCTTGGAGGGCTCTGACCAGCTCTGTGCCCCTGCTGAGTCAGGGTCCCTGTCACACACTCTCAAGGTACCTTATGCTTTTCTTCACAGTCATTTATTTGTGTGATCATAGAGTAAATGTCTCCCCACTAAACTGTGAGCTCCACGAGGAATTCTGCTCACTGTAGTATCCCTAAGCACTGTGCATAGTACTTTTCTTCCAAGACTTTCAATAAGTATTGAATGAATGAAACATCTCAGTCATCCTTGATGAGAAACAGGGTAAGTGAAAGTCAAGATTTTGTTCCATTTTGTTTTGAGGCTGGAGCCAGACAATTCAGTGTGGCCACATGGTTGATTTCGTGCTGATCAGGTTGGAAGATAGATATTTCTTGATTCATTAAAAACTGAGGAAAGGAACGAGTTATTATTTAACCAAAGGGACCTTGTTATAGTAAAGGTATCAGAGTTAGTCAGCTGGATATGGCTGGAATTCTAGTTCCACTTTTGATGGAACTAGATAATGCTGTTGGATCTGTCATAGAAACTCTTAGTCTCTGTTACTTCATCTGTAAAATGGGCCTACCTCATGGGGCTACTATGAGGATTAAGTGGGATAATAAATGTAAGTGCCTACCAGGGTACTTGGGTGCATAGTAGATGCTTAAAATAAAAGGATTTCCCCTCCCTCCCTCCTTCCCTCCCTTCCTTCCTTCCTTCCCTCCCCAGGGATTGAACCTAGAGCCGCTTAACAACTGAGCCACACTCCTAGCCCTTTTTATTTTTTGAGACTGAGGCTGGCCTTGAACTTGCAATCATCCTGCCTCAGACTCCCAAATTGCTGGGATTATAGATGTGCACCACCACATCTAGGTTTCTTTCTTTATTTTCTCTCTCCCTTTCTCCCTTTTTCCTTCCTGAATGCCCTGTGCTTTGTAGTTGGCGTTTTTCTGAACCCAGGTTCCTCAAGCTATAAGACCTTCTTAGTGGTATAAAAATTGGCATCCACAAAATGTGGCCCACATGTCTCTAAATCACACCTACCCTGTGCCCCTGTCTTTTTGGAGAGGTTCTTCACAAGAGGCCCTGGGGCCTGGGAGCCAGGAGAAGCTGAAGAGAGATGTAAGCAAACAGGATTCAGGAGCCTGATTGCTTATTGATGTCGGTTATGCAAAGGGAGCCAGGGCCCTTGTGAGTTTGCACTGCTTTTTCTGGTGGTTCACTGATGAGACAGGCAAATGCCCACCCACCAGGGAGAACTCAGGGTAAGCAGAGCCTGCTTCTCATTGGAGGGAAAGGCATTTCCTGGGCTGGGGAGGTTTTTTCATTACCCTGGTGTGAACTTTCTTAGAGAGGATTTAGAGCCAGTCTTGGAGATCACAGCAAGATAAAGGCCTCCTGCAGCCAGCTGGGCTACTCATGGCCAACTGCTTCAGTGCCACCCAGACTTGGGCCGGTCCTGACCAGAGTGAGGAGCATCCTTCCAGACTCGACCATGTGCCTCCTGCACAAAGCCTTTGCTGACTTCTCTCCACCCCTTCTCTGAGCTTCTAGAGCTGCTCATATCCTCATCCTAAAACTGATAACCCTGGAATGTACCGGGCTACCATGGTGACATCATATTGTATACATTCTGTGTATATGGTGCCATCTGGATTTATGCAAAGTGTGGACTTGAAGTGGTAGAATTCTGTTAATTGTCTCCCTTCTGGGCTGGGTGGTCCAAAGACTGGGAGCTGCCTAAAGGGCTGGGTACATAGTAGGGGATGAACCATTAGTTCACTGAATGGTTAAGTGGGTAGGTTCCAGGTGCCTGGCAACAGCTTCCCTGCTCCCAAATGGTACTGTGTGAGTGCTCCTCCTCCCTCTGCTCCTGCAGTCCCACCCTGGGGAGTCTTCCTTTTAATGTCCTGTACTTCCGATCTATCATTTTGCATTTGCTTTTTCTGCCAGTGAGCAAGATCTTACACATTCCCCATGTTGTTTCTGTCTGCATTAATATCATGGTTAGTGGATGCAGACTACTCCATAGAGGGGCTAGTCAAGCCATTATTCACAAACCATTTTCTGATAGTTGACCAGGAACTTCCAGACTTTGCATCTTTAAAGAATGAGTGAAAATCAAACTTATTCAAGGAACTGCATAGCATACAGGGTGGCCAAAGAGAGGTGCAGTGGGGAGCCCATAGGAAAAGGAGGACGGGCTGAAGCGTGTTATGATTAGCCTGTGAAGCTGAACTAAGTGTGGACGTGATCCTGGAGGATAAGAGTCACAGAAAGATTTTAAGAAAGGAAGGAACAACAGTTTGGATTCTTAAAAGATCACTGTAGGGGGCTGGGGTTGTGGCTCAGCGGTAGAGCACTTGCCTAGCACATGCAAGGCACTGGTGCTTGATCCTTAGCACCACATAAAAATAAATAAATAAATAAAATAAAGGTATTGTGTCCAACTACAACTAAGAAAAAAATTTTAAAAAAAAGATCACTGTAGTAACAGTGTTGATGAGAAATTAGATTAGGGTAGATAATAAAAGAGGAAAGAGTTGTGAAATAGTCCAGGGGAGAAAAATGGTAGTTTGAACTAATGGCCAGGTAAGGACTGATTTTTGAGATAAAAATGTAGAATCAATAGGACTTCGTGACTCACTGTACTACTGATGTTTCCCCACATGAAGAAGAGCAGATTTATGTGAAGGTGATGGGTTCCATTTTGAACATGATGAGTTCAAGGAGAGGTGTTCAAGATACTGATAGATGTATCTACCCACTTACCTATCCATCCATCCATCATCCATCCATCATCCACCCATCTATCCATCCATCATCTATCCATCCAACATCCATCCATCCACCCATCCATTGTCCATCATCCATCATGCATCCATCCATCATCCATCCATCCATCCATCATCCATTCATCCATTGTCTATCATCCATCCATCCCTCAATCCATGCATCCATGCATGTGCATGCATGCATGCATGAATGCATCCATCTAAAACATCTAACTGGGGGAAGCTAATTTTGGGAATTGTCACCATACCTCTGGTCACTAAAGATTCCAGGGTAGATGAAATCTCCAAGGAATAGAGAATAGGACCTGGTGTGAGTCTGGATGTCCATGGTTCCTATTTGCTTACAGTGAGTGTACCTATGCACTCTGAGGGCCACTGGGGTAAGCAGAGACCAAGCCTACATTCCTGAGAAGGTAGAGGCACACTTCATACTCTGCACATGGGCAGCACCTCACCTGCTTGCTCACTTGATAGCTGTTACTCCAATGACACAAGTGGTATGTGGTGGTATTATGGCTTGGATCTGGAATGTCCCCAATTCTCATGTGTCAAAGGCTTAATTCCCAATGCATTAGTGTTCAGAGATGAAGCTTTTAGGAAATGATTGGATCATGAGGGCTCCAACTTCATCAGCAGACCAATTCGTTTGATGGATTAATAATTTGAGGGCTGGGGATATGGTTCAGTTGGTAGAGTACTTGCCTTGCATGCACAAAGCCCTGGGTTCAATCCCCAGTACCACCACCATAATAATAATAATAATAATAATAATAATAATAATAATAATAATAAAGAACGGACTACTGGGAGTTGGTGGAAACTTAGGCAGGTAGGGCATTTTTTGAGGAGGAAGGTCACTGGGGGTGTACCCATGGAGATTATATTTTGTCCCTGGTCCCTTCATTTCTCTCTCTCTGTATCCTAGCTTTCATGAGCTGAGCAGGTTTGTTTCCACACACCTTTCCACCATGATGTTTCTACCTTGGAGCCAGCTAACCATAGACTGAAAGCTCTGAAACCATAAGTCAACATAAGTCCTTCCTCCTTTAAGTTGTTCCTTTCAAGTATTTGACACAGTGATGAAAAGCAGACCAACACTGTGGCCATTAGGCAGGTGGCTTCCATTACAAAGGCAGGATGGGGCAGGGTGGGGCCAGAGTCTGTGCTACTTACACGTTGAGAGGCTGCCAGGCTGGCCACTGGGCTTTGGCTTTGATGACAGTGAGGACCTCATCACTCTGGAAAAAAAAAAAAAAAAGAACCAGAGATATTTAGTGAACAAAGCTGGATTCATCGACATGTGAGGAATTTGACATGGTGACATCATCTACCCCCATTCCCTCACCTGCTAGAGACTCTACCTGTACAATTGTGGAGCCATCTTGCCACAGAGCCTCAGCAACACCAGGAGGTAGGACTGAATGTCCAGTTGTGCCTGGTGCAGCCTGGACACTGATGAGCCCACTGAGCCACACCTTTGGTCTCCAGCTCAGTCCATTCCCTCCCCACTGGTATTGGAGCTTTGACCTGGACTTGGCCTGGATGAGCCAGATTTCCATATCATGTCCAACCTGAAGGGCCAAGTCAAGTGCTCTGCATCCAGGCGTGAGTTGGGGCCTGCTTCAGGGTCAGTAGGAGCCACAATGCAGCCAACACTTGAACCCAAGCACTGTCATTCTCAGTGTCACTCTCCTGCTATTGAGACCCCCTCCTTGGACATGGAAGGCAGAACAGAGCCTGAGCCCTACATACTTTGCTGCATTCATGACATACTGCTCTCTGTTGCTTTGGACAGGGTGTAGAGCACCATTAGAGCATAGGGAAACTAAAACATCTTTTTGAGAAAGAATTTGATAATTAACACTTCGAAGGAAAGCATTATATGGTCACCATAAGGCAAAAATTTGAACGTTGTCGATGTTGCTTGATTTTGAGGTTTGGATGGGTTTTTACTTTCAGTTACACACTGAAAGGAGGGCGTCATGATGTTTGCAAGGCTTAAGGCCTACAGAACCCCAAATTCAGCTTTGGCAGGGGCTTTTCCCAGAGTGATCATCTGGTTCTGGATTCCCCTTTCACCTGGCCTGGCCCAGTAGTGTTCAGACACCATTGTCCTTTGTGTATAAAAAATTCCAGAATGTCACCAGCTGGGGAAGGAAGAGCTTTGTTGCCAACTGAACAGATTCCTGAGTTCCAGGGAACAAAGACTCATGTGGCTATGCCCCAGTCCAGCTGTGTCTGGCAGCAGAACATGTTTGGGATGAATTGGTGCACTTCCCCTTGGTTGGGTAACTTGCTCAGAAAAACCCACAGTCCTGAGGTAACTGGAAGAAAGGAGGTCAGAGGTGTCTTCCAGGCCCCCAAATGATAAAATAAACTTCTGGTCCAAAGTGCTTCTCCTGCCACCAGGGAAGGAGTCATTGGGTGGTGAGCCTCTGAGGAGGGGGGCACAGCCAGATCCAGCTTGGCTTGGGCTTGTGTAGATAGTGCCAGGTGAGGAGAAGGGCAGAAGCCAGGCCCACATAACACGTTGGCAGAGTTCCTAGCCCCCTGCTGAGTGCAGGCTTCCTGGGGTGCCCACTTTGGTTGGAGGAAACAACCTTCAGATGGATATACATTCCCACATTCATAGGTCTACACAAAAAAACATTTCCTAGCCCTACCTGAGTTGCTGCATTTCTCATGGAAGAATTATTTGTTTATTGTGGATTCTTCCTAGTTGGTATCTGAGAAGTGACTGACAGAAGGTGTTTACCATGAAATCATGTGGAACAGGAGCAATCTCCTGAATGCTAGCTCTGCATCTTCCAGAACCTCCATGTCTCACATGGACTCTTTCGTCTGACCCCAGAACCCTGCTCCTTCCCAGTAGGTCCTGTCTAGGTTCAGTACACATCTGCTACTCCCTGATCCTGACACGGGGTGACACCACCTTCCTCCAGCTTCCACCCCATCACACTAGACCTTCTGTGCTTGTGTCCATAAATCTGATCATACCCATTCCCAACCCAAAGCCACCAAGGGCTCCCTACAACTTCCATGATCACTTCTGATTTCCTATGTGGCCCTCATCATTGAGCTCTGGTCTACATTTTTTTTCATTGATTTTCCAGAAGAATGTTCACTTATTGTAGAAAATATTAGCATTGAAGCAGCACACAATGTAAATGTTGGGCACATTCTATCAACATCTATCCTGCCTTCTGTTTCCTTCTCCTTCTCCAGAATATTACAGTTTGGTATGTGTCTTTCCAGACCTTTTACTATGCTTACACAACTCTGTGGGTGTGTGCGTATGTACTATATGTAGCTTTTCCCATGAAAAAATTGCATCATACTGAAAATCTTGTTCTGCACCACGACTTTAGCATTTTTCCTTAGTACCATATCACGAGAACATTTCCATCAGTACATACCGAAGGCCATTTACAATATATACTAAATATCATAGTTCCTCACTGAATTTTTTTGAAGTATTGGAAATCTTCAAATTATGGCAAGACAGGTGAAGACATAAAAATGAAATGAGATCCAAGTAATGAGATGCTGTCTGCTGACGTTCCTTTTGCCCTTGAAGAAATACTTCACTAAAAAATAAAATCAATGTGAGTGAGCTGAGGTGGCCACTGAGCTAGCCCTGCAGATTCACCTTGGTTTACAATTAAATCTTGGTTTTCAGGTTCCAGCTAATGACATATTGATTTTACTTTTGCAGTATATAACACAACAACAATAGTTTAGACCCTCCATTAGCGTTTATTTATGGTGATGAAATTCCATCTGCATTTTTGAGATCCGTGCAGTCTCCAAGGATGGGCAGTCCACATATGTGGCCATTACAGCTTCTGCTGTAAGTCATTTCATTCAGGTTATACAACATCTGTCTTATCAATGCTTATTATTGCTTTTTGTGATCCTTTGTATTATTCAGTGGAATTGGAAAAGAGCATATTGGAACATTTGCTCAAAAATAAACTATGTTTTTTTTGTTGTTGTTGTTGAACATTAAAGTTCTCTGATACAGCCTAAGTTATACAAGACCGGAGAGAGTCTGGTTTATTTGTGGCCACAGATGCCCTGTAAATTGCTGAAAAACCAAATAACACCATTGTTATTGTACAGGTGGAATTCCATAGCATGGGTATTTTCCATTTAGCTAACATTATTAGTGGATGTTTAATATTTTTTTTCCACAAATGATGTCTCTATGAACATTTGTGTACATATTTTTTTGTTCACACACCCAAAGTTTCCTGCATCATTGATTGCTAGGAATGATCAAAGGATGAAGAAACTTAAAATTAGGGTAAGCCCTACCAAATTGCCCTCCAAATGCCTATACTAGTTTATACTACCAGTAAGAATGTATGTGTGCTCAGGTCCTGACAACTCTGGGCACACTGGATCCTGTGTATCCTTTTAGTATTTATTAATCCAGTAGCAGGAAAGTAAAGTGGTTGAAGGCCTAAGATCTGAGTTCAAATCCTGACTGCACTGTTGACTAGTTCTGTGTTTTCTGGCAAGTCTCTTGACCCCTCTTAGTTTTCTCCTTTGTGAAATGGGATCCATGTGTGGTTGTCGGGAGACTAAATTACATAGTTTAGGAGGTGGTAGTGCCTGGCACATAGAAAGTGCTCCATCAGTGTTAGCCATCATTCTTATTCTGAGGGACACTCAGCTGGAGCAGGCATTAGAATTGAGTTGCCCTGTTCAGGTACAGAGAATGGAGAATGGAGTTGCTGCTACAAACCCACAAAACCTCAAAAGAACTTTCTCTCATTTACAGACAAGATATCAGTTTCCGGGAGCATCTATGGGAGGCTTCTGTAGCTGGGCAAGCCTTGCATGGGGCTGCTGGGGCACCAGGCATTTTACATTCTGAAGAATGGAGGACTTAAATTCAGAGTAAGCAATCCACACATTAGACTTAAATGAAAAGCTTGTTTTAACAAGTCTCTAAGGCACAGATAGGATCTCCCAGGGATCCTCAGAGCCCTTTTACATCTCCCATAGGACCTTTTTCAAACAAAGTATTTCAAAGCATTCACACAGTTCATGCCTTGTTTGGAGGGTGTTAACACTTTCCCAAGGATACGCCAATTAAAATTAAATACCCAAAAGAAGCTACAGGTCATTTATGTCCACCTTTTATTTTGCTTTTGGAAAACATATTGGAAGATGTGTCAGCTGTACTTGTACCACACACACACTGTGCCAAATGGGAACAGCACAGCCCCCATCTGAGGTTCGATCCTGAGTGAGGAGGGTTCATGCAGAGTGACAACAAGCCTGGGACTGGCTGGAGGTGGAAATGACAGAGTCAGGTGATACAAGTCTACGCAGAGTAGAGAGTGAGAATGTGATCCGGTCAGGGCAGGGAGCCTGACCCTGCACTGGCCCTCTTATGGACTCCAAAGCCAGTACCCGGTAAGGGAGGGTTCTGAACGTCTCAGCTGTGCCCCAAGCCAGAGACTGCTGGAGTCTGTCACCTCCTCCCTGCCTGGATCCTTGACTTCCCTGTTCCTGCACCTTCCTGGCTCCTGATCTTTTGACTTCAACCTCCAGTTGTGAACCGCAAAACTGTTTCCTCTTCGCAAGTCCCTTGCTCCTGGCAAAGCTGCCCTGAATGCAGTCTTGGAGTGAGCTCAGCCAATTTGCCTGAAGCCTCTCCATGCTTTCTTCCCCCAGGAATAGAAGTGGGATGTGATTCCCTGATTAGGGAAGGAAAGGAATCGAAACAGATTGAAATAAGAAAAAGAACTGTTACAGATGTACGCGTTAGGCACCTTGCTAATTGTCTAGCTATAGCATCTCAATCCTCACAACACATTGGCAAGGCAGGTACATACATATTTTTTAATCTTAGAAACACTTTTATTCGTCCAAGTTAATTTCACTGAATTTATGGTGAATTTAGGCTGAGCTAGTGTTTAAACCTCGGTCTGACTCCAGAGAACCCAGGCAGAGGGGAAAGGTAGAGAACCAGTCCCATCTCTCATGCTTGTGCTGAGCACAAGGCATGTCCTGGCTGATTCTGAGTTCTGTATATTGCAGCCACTCTGGGAGGGTCATCAGACAGTGTTCACCTTACTGTTGAAGTTCATGCTGTCCTGAGAACCAGCTTTGATGACAGAGGGGAAGGAACAGGCTTCCAGACAGAGTTGGAGAGAAAACTGTTTACTACTAATGAGGGGGAAACTGATGACCAGGCAGAGGTGCAATTCCAGGCAGACACAGC